CTAGCATAATTTCATCATCAACAAGTGAGCAGCAAAAATTGATGAATGAATTCATGAAACGATTCTCATAACATCTGACTCATTGACAAAATCAGGGAGAGAAAAATCTAAAAATCAATGAAGTATCTGATAAAAATATCAATCTTACTTGCAGAACTTTTCCATTGCTGATGCAATTAAACTTTTCTATAAAAAAAAAACAGGCATTCAAGTAATTATTCTTTTAACATCTTGCAATAAACAACGGCAAAATGTTGTTTTCTTTGAACTATTCGCAATGACCGATCCTGACATGTAATAATTTTTTATGCACGTAAATAATTGGAGACAATTCATTCTTTATTGTTACTCAGACGTCACGTAAAGATTACAAGTTTTTCATTTATCAATTTCGATAGGCGGATTGCGTTAGAAATAATTTGGGAAGAACTAATACCATCATTCAATTACAAAAATTTTGGAGAAAAAAAATCCTTCAGACCAATAATCTAGTTTTACGGTAGCTAATTATTAGATTCAAGGATTCAAGGTCAAATTGATGCTTTCGAAAAAAAAGTATTTTGCAATTGTTTAAGAATGCAATAAATTTAGTATAAGAAATTGTTGGGGTCCAGACAATTATAATTATTTACGTTCTCTTAATTTTTGGAGGATTCCAGTTGAAGTATATCAATGGACCAATTTGTTTAAACACAAAAACCTGTTGATGAAGGTTAAAAATGGAACAATTGTTAATGGTTGTTGATTTTACCTCAAGTGTACATTACTCTGAAATCCTCTATATTACCAATTAAATAATTTACTTCAGTGAACTTCATGGCTCAATTGTAAATAAACCATTATGAATCAAAAATGTAAAATGTGTAGGAATTTTCACACAAATAAAGAAATAGTTGTTGGATAGCTACTGGAGAATAAACTAAATAATCTAATTTAGTTAACAAAAATCTGAAAATTCACTTCTGCATAGTAAAGAGTTTTTTGTTATCATCTTGCAAAAAAAAAAATTTGCTCGGTATACACTATGCATCAGTGGGTCCATAGAACGGTTGATTGAATTTAACATTTTTACCACTCATTTAAATACAAAAAAAAAGTGAAACTAAGATGCCATAGTATCCGTGCGTTGGCACTAAATTTAGATTAATGAGAAACGTATGACTCAGACGCACTGAAATTTCTCGCAATAAATATTCGCAGTGGTTCACTTATCGCAATACGAGGTATACAGTTGCAGGAAATGTTTCTTGCATTCCAAGAAAGCGATTAAATATTTGTAACAAATGTTTTCGTAAACATTCATTACAGGAAGCAGTAATACTATAGAAAATGCGTGTGATACTGGATTGAAAAAAATGTGGAGGTGAGAGGATTCTCTGTAAAAAATACATTTTTTAAATATAGTCTTACGTGAATGACTTGATTTGCTTTTGATTACTCTTGATTTTTGTATTACTTAGTACTTTTCTTTATAGGTGAATATAAAGTGAAGATTTATTGATAAAACTAGACAATGATGAGATAATAATATTAGATTTATGAATAAATAAGAGTGTCATTTTCAGATCAGTTTTGGGTAAATTACAGTTCAATTATTCAATGAAAATCGTTAGTATTCCGTGGCTTCCTGGAAAGTATGCTCTTGAATTTTTAACCAGCTGAAGATTTAATGCAGATTGATACTGAATGATTGTTCTGATAAAGAATTAAACTCAACTGCATAACTGAATTATTTTCTCTCCTT